AAACCCACCCCTTAAAAACACCCCCACTCCTCCAAAATGCCCCCAAAAACATTTTTAACTAAAAATTTAAATTCAGAAAACTTCAAAACCCTAAAATCGATGTGCTACATGCCCATATTTTTAAAAAATTTAATTTTTGTATTTTTTGCAGACATTTTTGGGCGGATTCTTAAAATAGACCTACTTAGTGACCTAAAACCGCAAAAAAATTTTCACCGTACCTGAAACAATCACTACACAACAGTTACAAAGATGAGTGACACGTTTTTAATTAGGTTTTCGGGTATGCCCTTTCCGATTTTGAAAAAAATTTTCAAAATTCCTATCACGGAAGGGCGCACCCCTGCTTCGACGAAATTTGGTGCCTGGCGGTTTTTGAACATAAAAATCACGAATCTGGAATTAGTTTTTGAAAATTCGAAAAAAAAGTTCCACTGCAAATCTTGGCCGGACAACGAAAATGGAGAGAATTCCACGAAATTGGTTGTGTACATACTAGATGAGTTAAGGAACAAAATTTTAAAATAACTTTTCAAATAAAAGTTATAGGTACTCGTTTGAAGAATGGGCCTTGGGGTTACTAAGTGTCTCTCGCCTACTAGTGAATGATCTAATTTCGTATGTAGTTAGTTGAAAATGTCACAAATAACAAAAAAATAACGATTTAAGTTGCCCCCATTTGATTTGTCCTATTATCTCCAAAACCAAAAAGGCACAAACGGTGCGAATACGTAACAATACGTAAAAAAAATTTGTTCATTTTTGGCTAAGTGAACGGACCCTTTATCATATTATCATAGCATATTGTTGTCTAATTATCTTGTATCCAATAATTGACTTTTTACGTTCTGCAACAACGCTGTTATTATTATTGAATTAAGAACTTATAACTTGTTAAAAAATTAAGTCGGATATTCATCTGAAAACTATATTTAGACGATCGTTGTATCAAAGGTATCCAGTTACCGACGTGCGTAAGTTTATCAATGGCATGATGTCACCGTAGTCAAAACATTCTCTCTCACCTCTCTACTCATTTTGAAGTGAGTATCTCGGCTATATTGTATGAATTAAAAAATGTTGAAGAGTTTCCTTTAATCACGTTTTGTTACTTGCCGTACGATACCAGCACATTCTAGATAAAGAATACTGGCCACCTTTTCTCCTATCTCACTGACCTTCTATTCAGATTTATTATTCAATGCTAGTTAATAATGTCCACATTATTAACCACTTTGAACAAATGCCGAGAAAGCCTACTTTACAAGTGGAAAAAAGGTTAATAATCATGTCATCAGACGCTAGTAGTGAAAAAAATAACTTAGTTATCTCGTTGGAAAACATCGCTTCCCCTTTCTCCGAGAAAAGTGTGAGAACGGCAAAATTTTTATTTCCACAACTAATTAACGGCAAAAAAAGCGGCAAAATGCTAGTATAGTCATAGCGCATTTTTTAAGAATTAAAAAAGTGCTATTTTTGCGTTTTGTCCGTCCGTCTGCAGTATACCGCTTATACCTTGAAGGTGCAGACGGCCATCAAATCTCGCTGTGTAAAAGCCCCCCTCCCCACGAATTATTTTCTGAGATGGTGTTTTTGAAAGTAAAACGTGCATAACTTTTACACACGACAACCAATTGGTCTCAGCTTTTGCATACCCATGCCTTTAGTGGTGTCAAGTTAACCTTTAGAAAATGGGGGGGGGGGTTAAACACATGTTCTACTACCCTTCATGGTATTCTAATTAAAGGTCTCATCGAAATAAATTGGTTTCTACAAACTATACCTTTCCCGTGTGACTCTTTTTCGAGATCAGTGAGCGTCGAAGCCTGAGGGGGGAGGGGGGTTAAAAACTAACTTTATCTCTCATTGTATTCTAATTAAAGGTATCTACCAAATGAACCGTTTTCTACCAACTACTGCCCTTCCTTCTGTCCTCTTATCAAAGTACGGGGTGAGGGCGAGGGGGCGGGGGAGGGGAATGGAACTAATTTTATCCTTCACGGTACTCTAATGAAAGGTCTCAACGAAAGGAATTTATTTCTACCAACCATGGCCCTCCTCCTCGACCTCTTATCGTGATCGGGTATATTCCCTTATACGTCAAGAACGGATTGTCGGAAGAGGGTACTCACAAAGGGCATTATATGGAAATGTTAGGCAATGTCAATGTACTCATATACATGAGGTGCGCCGGGATAGGCAATGTTCGTCGGGTCTGCTATTATCTATATAAATAAAAACGAATGTTTGTCTGTCTGCCTCTTAGGCTTGTCTAACCCCTTCATCCGACTGCGATAAAACTTTGGGGAATGGTTGGACCTCGGGTAGGATGTCTGCTCGCAAAACTTTTTGAGTTAATAAAACAGTTTCCGAAATTCCCACGGAACGGGTACAGAAAAAAATAGGATTTAATGTTTGCAGCTGAGAAGTCACATCCTGATCACCATGGCATTTCTAGCAAAACATAGGTCGAAGATTTCTCCGAAAGAACTTCGAAGTTCTACGGGAACGGCGAAAAACGGAAACATGGTGCGGGAAAAAACGAGATTTCCCAAAGGCGGTACGAAGTTCACCGGAACTACTAGTAGCATGTCAAAACATAGGAAATATGCCAATATCTTAAAACATATCTTCGAAACTAAGGCGTAAGCTGAGTTACTGGGTTAGATTTATGATTTATGTATGAGTATTAAACAAGATTTTCCGACCAGTAGTTTGCATCCGTCAATCCATTTCGAAAAAGATGATCCCCTTCAAATTTATATTATCTCACAGTACGTCACCCAACTGAACATAATCTCGTGAGGTGAACTCGGGCCATCCGCGGTATATTTTCTGTAGACAAACATCCATTTAAAACCGCTCATCTCTACTAATCTTATGCCAGTCTGTCTGCACGTGTGTTGTAAAATACATTGCAGGTTACAAAAATGTCAAATGTGTCATTCAACTTTTATTATGGCTGCACGAAGAAAAACAAGTTAAAAAGTAATCGTAAACGATTTACATAAAGCGCATTTCCACTTGCATTCATTTCCCATTTGTAAGATGCAACTTCTGTTAAAATCGTCAAAATCCGGCCACAAATATGAAAGATAGCGTTGCACATGGGCAATCCATTGTTGACGTGCTACTTCAATTTCAGTTTATGAGAAGAATTTAATTTCAATGCTTTTCTAAATAAGAAAGTTGGAACTGCGCATGCGCAAACCTAAATTTTAAAACTAATTTACTATAACTAACTAATAAACTAAGATTTTCTTTTGTTCCAAGCGCCTAAGTATCAAATTTCACTTAAATAGTTCCATAGATAAAAAAGTTGGCACGGCGCATGCGCAAAATAAAATTTTGAAACTGGCGCTAGATTTTCCTTTATTCGAAGTGCCTATGTATCACATTTCATTTAAATTCTTCCATAAATAAAAAAGTTGGCACTGCGCATGCGCAAAACCAAATTTTGAAATTGGCGTTTGATTTTCCTTTATCCCAAATGCCTATGTATCAAATTTCGTTTAAATTCTTCCATAAATAAAAAAGTTGGCACTGCGCATGCGCAAAACCAAATTTTGAAATTGGCGTTTGATTTTCCTTTATCCCAAGTGCCTAGGTATCAAATTTCGTTTAAATTCTTCCATAAATAAAAAAGTTGGCACTGCGCATGCGCAAAACCAAATTTTGAAATTGGCGTTTGATTTTCCTTTATCCCAAGTGCCTATGTATAAAATTTCGTTTAAATTCTTCCATAAATAAAAAAGTTGGCACTGCGCATGCGCAAAACCAAATTTTGAAATTGGCGTTTGATTTTCCTTTATTCGAAGTGCTTATGTATCAAATTTCGTTTAAATTCTTCAATAAATAAAAAAGTTGGCACTGCGCATGCGCAAAACCAAATTTTGAAATTGGCGTTTGATTTTCCTTTATCCCAAGTGCCTATGTATCACATTTCATTTAAATTCTTTCATAAATAAAAAAATTGGCACTGCGCATGCGCAAAACCAAATTTTGAAATTGGCTTTTGATTTTCCTTTATCCCAAGTGCCTATGTATCAAATTTCGTTTAAATTCTTCCATAAATAAAAAAGTTGGCACTGCGCATGCGCAAAACCAAATTTTGAAATTGGCGTTTGATTTTCCTTTATTCGAAGTGCCTATGTATCAAATTTCGTTTAAATTCTTCCATAAATAAAAAAGTTGGCACTGCGCATGCGCAAAACCAAATTTTGAAATTGGCGTTTGATTTTCCCTTATCCCAAGTGCCTATGTATCAAATTTCGTTTAAATTCTTCCATAAATAAAAAAGTTGGCACTGCGCATGCGCAAAACCAAATTTTGAAAATGGCGTTTGATTTTCCTTTATTCCAAGTGCCTATGTATCAAATTTCATTCAAATACTTTTATAAGTAAAAAAGTTTGCAATTCGGTTTATAAATGGTCGAGATGCGAAAGGGGCACTGTGAATTTTGAATCGATTCGATTCAACTTTTGGCATTGCGTATTATATGGCTAAATCTATGCCCATATTGAATTTCATGCAATTCAGTTCATAACTAACGGAGATGTAAAAGCGATCAAACATTTCTAAACAAAGTTATGGTTCACACGGACAGATAGATGGACAGACAGACAAAGGAACAGACGGAGAGACCAACCGGCAGGCGACAGATAACAATGCAAAATTATAAACGATCTCTAGGATCGTTAATAAACGGCAAAAGTGTAAAATTATGGAACATGTAAAAAACGGTTTTTTTGTTTTTTTACAATAACTTTTTTTGTAAGCGGTACAGAAAAAATTCCTTCCTTGGTACAAGACTCGACACCATAACGAACCAAATAGCGAAAAAAAGTAGAACAATAGCTCTTAAGATAAAAAACTAGTAGCGTCGCAAAGTTAGCGGACGGACGGACGGACGGACGGACGGACAAAGTGGCCACAATAGCGCATTTTTTTTTTATTTTTGTGGAAATGCGCTAAAAGGACGCTTCATTACCAATGGTTCACGTAAGACATGATTAGAATTGCCGCCAAAAGATTTACAATGTTTGATAAATTCATACACTGATGTATTTGTTTGACACCATGGATACGGAAACTAAGCACTAGTGAAAAATATACTCTGGTAAATCCAAGTTACTAATCCGAATCTCCTTCTTTAGCGGTACCCCAAACCATGTATATGTTGTCATCGAAGCTTGCTTTCATATTTACATCACTCGCGACGTAATTGTCCCCGTGTCGGCTAGTTCCAATAACTGCATTGAATGAGTATTCGGGAAACTGAATCCCCAGGTACCTACACAGGAGCATAATTCTTTTGTTCGGGTCACTCTTCATGCTGTAACTCCGCTTCAGTGCCTCCGCAACCTTCATCTGCATAGGAATGGTCATATCGCTACTCAAAACTTTCACCTAAAATCGCCCGATAAGTTTGAGTTCATTGAAGTTGAAGCTAACCTTTTCAGGTGCGTAGCTATCCTTATGGTTGAGGAGCGGAACCCCAGATCTGCGAAAGGCTGTTATTTCTACGTCGACCGGAAGTTCGAATTTTTTCATGAAGCCGATATAGTCTTGAATATCGTCGCTGTGAAGTTCATCGTCAGGATCGCTGTGGTCCTCAAATACCATGTGGGTGCTGCCATCTTTGAACTGAATCTGCAGCAAACAAGTGAGGACTTTTAGTGAACAATACGTTTCTTACCCTTAAATCCTCGGCCAGGAGCGTTTTCTCCTGCAAAACGCCTTCAAGATCGAAAATTTGTCTACTACCCACAGCTGTCAAATTCAACTTCTTGGCTAAAGCAAAGACTGATTTAACTTTGTCTTCATCGAACTTCTCTTCCAGCTGAGGTCCTTCTGGATTATTCTGAAAATAGGAGATTGTTTTGGTAAATATTAGCAAAGGTCTAGGCTATGTACTTCGAAAGAAGTTGTGCGAATTTCGAAGGTATCGAGTTTCAAGGGTGCTCCATCTGCTTTATTAAATGGATGCGTGTAGACAACTTGTACGAACATGTTTGCATCTTCGAAGCTCTTCTTGACGGCCTCAAAACGGTCGATTTCCTTCTTCAGTATAGCTTCTGTTGCTTCACTCTCTTCCTGCAAATAGTCATTACTAAATATTAAATTTCCTGATGAAACAATTTACTGTAGTGGATTTTGTCAATGCTGAAGAAAGGCAAAAGCCGATCACAAGTACAAACGCCCTTCGAAGTTGCATCTCGTACGACTCTGATGTTGGTTCGGTTGTGTTTTCAGACTCTCTTTCTATCGTTGACGGATTTTGACAATAACAATTATGTAAATGTTTGATAATGATAACCTTGAGATAGTCACTACTTTAAAGTTTATCACAGGTCATTAGGCAATTACAATTACAATAACAATTACAAAATATGGATAGGTAATACAATCGCAAGGGAGAGATCCGGGTAGCATCTGCACTGTTGGAAAGCCAGTTATCAAGAGGTTTGATTGTATACATTCCACAAGGGTGATTCGTTTGAAAACCTTGTTTTAAGTTTTAAGCATTTTACCATTAGCAAGAGAAAACCAGATGGAATCTGAAAAACCGACTAGGAGACCCAATCTCCCTTATTAGAAAGCCGCTATGACCGAGGGAGGTGAGTTTTAGATGCCAAAGTATTTAGGAAAGCCGACGGAACCCAGAAGATTGATGTGTCGAAGAGAAGTGAAGAGGTCAAAAATGAGAAAATCGATGTAGTCGAAGAAATCGAAGAAGCCAATAAAGTCGAAAATGTAAAAATGGCAAAGAACGTCGGGAGTTGAAGTGCTAAGATCTCCATCGGTAATTCGGTGAATCGGAAAACTGAGAAATCCGAAGAAGCACAAAATGATCAAGAAGCCGAAGAAGCTCAGGAAAGTGAGGAAATCAGGGAGGCACGGATAACCAATCATTACATCTGCGAAAAGAAGAAAACAGAAGAATCTTGGGAAAGGATCCGACGGCCTGAGAGCCGGGGAGGTAAAAAACCAACAACAATGGGACTGAAGGTGAGGAAAATCGAAAAAATAGCAAATATGAAGGTCCTGAGAGAAATTGAAAGGCATTGAGTCGAGAAATCATGACCAAAAAAGCTTAGGAAGGCCGAAAATGTTGATGAGTGCGATTAAAGTGTCGAAGATGTTGAAAATACTAATCAAAATATACACGTGGATGTTGCCAATGCAAGTCACTCGAGCGCTTTGACCAAGCTGTTATTTTCATCTACGTATTTTGAACGACATTGTAAAATGGATCTAGTAACATATTCCCAATTATGTTTCATCAGGTTATTTGTTTTTCTGGAAATGAGCTCCCAGATACATTTAACGGTCCTTAGTGAGATTAAAGCTAGCAATTTGCCCCGATAGATTGAAAACAGAAGCAAACTTTATACCAATGGAAGAAATGAAACTGGTCTTCAATATTCGAATAGATATCTTTTTCACTTTCTTTATCATTCAGATTTTCTCAGCCTTCATCTGTTTCAACTACTTCAGTAACCGTTTCATTTTTGTCTGTTCTTTTATATTTTCTTCTTTGCACATTTCTATTAAGTAGTCATATCAGGCCGAACCAGGACCGTGCAAGGTCATTCCCCACCTGATGGTGACTGTGGAAAGTAGGTAAAGGTGAAGTTCAAAGGTCGCGTTCTAGATGGCAGTAACCTTGGTCAAGATGAAGCTCAATGTCATTGGAGTTCAATAACCACTTTTTTACAGTATCACATTGTACTCCCAAGGTCATTAAAAGTCAACGAACCCATTTCTGTAATGTCATCTATTTTCAAGTTTATCGAAGATTAATCGCCTCCATTTTTGCGGTGTCATATTTCATTTTTAAGATCATCAGAGATCAATGATCCCAGTTATATGGTGTCAAATTTCATTTTCAATAGCATCAATCTTTTGTGGTGTTCTATTTGATTTTTACTGTCGTCAGAGGTCAATGACCTCTTTTTATGGTGTCATGTTTTATTTTGAAAGTTATAACAGTTCAATTTTCTTAGTTTTTTGAGAAGCCATATGCCATTTTTAAGGTCATCCTAGGTCAATGACCTCTTTTCCCGTGTCGATTTTCATTTCTCAAAGTAAGGCGCCGACTTTAGTAATACATGCGCATAGACGCTTTTTATATCATAATAATGTGTCTTGGAATTCGCCTGCAGTTAAAGATAAAATGGGGTCATTGATCTTGGACGACCTAGAAAGTAGCCTTGACCTTGGAAATTAAATCGACACGGGGAAAATTAGGTAATTGACCTTGAATGACCTTGAAAACAAAGTTTGACGCCACAACGAAAGGGGCCACTGACCTCTGATGAGCTTGAAAATGAAATGATACCGAAAAAATGAGATCATTGAACTATGATAACCCGGAAAATAAAACATGACACCATAAAAGTGTCGTTGATCTCTACCACAAAAAATTAAAGTGATTGAACCTTGAGAGTGAAATATGACACCGCAAAAAATGGAAGTCGTGAAACTTTGATAACCTTTAAACTAAAATATGACACAAGAGGAAAGGACCCTGTAAGTGATGAAATGAATATAACACCGCAAAGAAATGGAGGTCATTGATCTTAATAACCTTGCAAATAAAATGACACCACAAAAAATGGGACCACTAACCTTGAAAATGAAATACGATATCACAAAAATAAGGTCATTAAACTTTGATGAACTTGACAGTAGTCAAGTAGAGTAAAGGAAATTACGATAACGATGACCTTTAAAGACCTTGGCAGTAAAATGTGCCACTGCATAGACGGGGTTTTTGAGTTTTGGGAACTTTGGAAGCGAATGCCATTGGGCTCATCTTGACCTACTTGATTGGTCAACAATTTCAAATGTGAAGCACATTTGAAATTGTTGACCAATCATACGCCTTTCGGATTACAGTATCGTCGGATTTCGTATGCATGTGAATCCAGCTTTACTCGGTTCAATGAATTTTTTTTAATTATTTGGGTTATTCTAATTCGTGAGATTTTTTACAAATGCTAGTAGTCAAAGGTCTCTGTTTTTTCCTAATTCAAGAGGTAGTGGATACGCTGACCACTAGATCAGCAGTTTTCCGACTCTGAAAATAGTGATTGTCTTCAAAATTCTTTACGAATCTGCTGGAAGGAAAAATTTTTAATAAGCTGAACAATAGGAGGAAGTTCAAAAATTAAAAAATCGTCCTGACAGCTTTGATGAATTGGAAACAAAAAAAATCGCCGCTTGTGAAGAACTGAAAGGGAATAATTGAAAGAGGTAAAAGCATCCAAAGGAATGAAAATACTAGAGCGACAAAAAAATCCAAACAAACCGTGGAATTTGAAAAACCACTTGAATTAAAGGAATCAGAAGAATCCTAAAGATCTGCAGAATTTCAGTAACAGTGGTAGCGTGTATGACAATGCACATCATTTCATTATCGCTCTTTATCAGTTAAATCAAGGGCATGATTATATTGCTGTGTTATATACGTTATGTTGTATACCTTGTTGTCCAGTATGACCCATACAAAAAAAACAATAAAGGGTAAATGTGTTTTGTCACAGACAAACCATGTCCTAAGGGAACAGAAGAAAATAAAAATAAAAAAATCGGAACGCAACTGACATTGATAAAAATGGTAATACAAACGAAGATATGTGAAGAAAAACAACACAAGCCCTTTTCTGAAAGCACTAAGAAAAAATACTAAAAGCAAGCGAGAACCAGGAAACTTACAAATATTTATGTCCAAGATATCGGAAACCATAGAATGTCCGATTACTTCCGAAGATACGCCAGAAAAACCGAAATCTGCCGATTTTTTTTCATTTTTTTCTGATCTTATTCGAACAAATAAAAAAAAAAATTATGATCGATTGTAATTGCTTAAATTTTTTTTTCTCAGAATATTCTTAAAGTTATATTCATTCTTTTTTTAATTAGTTATGAGATGTATTTGATATTAAAAATAAAAAATGCCAAACTTCCGTAAAAAAAATAAAAAAATGGAATAAACGTTTTCTCATTGCCATTATTTGAGCCCTACAAGACATTGTTGAAATGTTGAGAGATTTTTAATACAACCATTGTATTTATAAACGAATAGTATGGCAATCTTATGAGAGAATAGAGCAACACTTAATAACGAAGTTTTACCACAACAGAGGCAGTATTTATAAAATACAATGATACAACGTTTCGTTTCGGAGAAATCATTATGAACGTTAATTTTTATATAGTCCGTCATAAAGTACGTATTCTATTGACTAGCACTTTTTATTACGAATACAACGTCGTACCTCACACAAAAGTTGGCAACTGAATACTGATGGTTTCAACATGATGGTGCAACCGAGCACAACGTGCTAATAGTGCGAGAATATCTCCCGGACAAATTTTCCATGTTCCAGAAAATTTCCCATTTCGTATCTTTACAGCACTTCAATAGAATGTTATATAATATTAAACTTGAACTTGTTATTATCTTTGCTTGAACTACGTTCGAGAAGGCTCAACATGTACTTTTCTGGTACGCCCTTGGTCATTTACAATGGTCCTAGAACGGTCCTAATTATCCAGGTACCTTTACATACCTATGAATATTTTATAATCAAAAGCAAGTTACGAGAGCCGTCGCTGATCTAGACGCCAACAGTTTCAATTATTTCTCACAAGTGTACATGTAATACATCTAATCTTTGGCCTGCAATTGAAATTATCAATATTTTACTAGGTACTTCTTTAGAACGTCCTGCCATTCCATTTTGAAGTAATGATCATTCATAAACGACCATACTCGCGAAGGATGATTTCCGTGTGTGGCTCCATCTTAGCGAGTAGTTCGTTAGTTAAAGGTTGATCTCTGCGTAAAGTCTTACAAAGAAATACTTTTTTCGTGGTGAGCAACACGCCAATGACATCTATCGGGGAACTAATTTAAGTGGTATTGATTTCCCTCCACATAAATGCAGACAGAAAGCGGCTTTCGCTCCCTTTGTATAGATGGCACTAGAAGACTGAAATGTATGAGAGCAAATTTAAATATTTTATCCCGAAATCTTATATTTAATACAATAAATCCCGTTCTCGCTACGAGTTGCAAATGAAAAATAGGTACAGTTAAAAATATATCGCTATCCATTAAGCTCGACAAAGCTTAAGCAAAGATCATTTTGTTCCTTCAACGCAAACATGATAGTTAACTCCTAATTTATTGGTTTCGCCCCATGGCCGCTAAGGTAAACCGAACATACCTTTGATCCGACCCTCTTA